TTACAGGTGCCTGCCACCACGTCTGGCTAATTTTTGTATATTTAGTATAGAGACGGGGTTTCACCATGTTGGCCAGGCTGTTCTCAAACTCCTGACCTCATGTGATCCGCCCGCCTCGGCTTCCCAAAGTGCTGGGATTACAGGCGTAAGCCACCATGCCCGGCCAGTTTTTTGCCTTTTTAAGTAATGTAGTTCGTTGATACAAAATATATTGGGAATGTTGTGCAGCCATCACCACTATCCAGCTCCATAATTCTTTTCATCTTGTAAAACTAAAACTCTGCACCCATTAAACAATCCCCATTTCCCCCCTCCCCACAACCCCTGGCAACCACCATTCTACTTTTTGTCTTTATGATTTTGAGTATTCTGCCTGTATAAGTGGTATCATACAGTATTTGTCTTTTTGTGACTGGCTTATTTCAATTAACATAATGTCCTCAAGGTTCATCCATGTTGTAGCATATGTCGGAATTTCCTTCCTTTAAGGCTGAATGATATTCTATTTGTCTACCACATTTTGCTTACCTGTGTATCTGTTGATGGGCCCTCAGGTTGCTTCTGTGTTTTAGTTATTGTGAATAATGCTGTTATGAACATGGATGTTCAGATACTGCTTTGAGACCCTGCTTTCAATTATTTAGTTATTTGTTTGCTTGTTTAGACAGAAGATAAAACCATGAGCTTTGTGGGTGTTGTTTTATATATCAGTCAATCAGATGAAAAGAATTAATCATAAGAAAAGTTTGAGGCTGGGTGCAGTGGCTCACACCTGTAATCCCAGCACTTGGGGAGGCCAAGGCAGGTGGATCACCTGAGGTCAGGAGTTTGAGACCAGCCCGGCAAACATAGTGAAACCCCGTCTCTGCTAAAAATACAAAAATTAGCTGGGTGTGGTGATGCACGTCTGTAATCCCAGCTCAGGAGACTGAGGCAGGAGAATTGCTTGAACTTGGGAGGCGGAGGTTGCAGTGAGCTGAGATCGTGCCACTGTACTCCTGCCTGGGCAACACAGTGAGACTCCATCTCAAAAAAAGAGAAAAGTTTGATGGGCCAGCTTGATTGTCTAAATTTTATTTATTTATTTTTTATTTTTTTATTTTATTTTATTTTTTTTTTGAGAGGGAGTCTCGCTCTGTCGCCCAGGCTGGGATGCAGTGGCCGGATCTCAGCTCACTGCAAGCTCCGCCTCCCGGGTTTACGCCATTCTCCTGCCTCAGCCTCCCGAGTAGCTGGGACTACAGGC